TGTAAACTAATACAACCTTCACAGAACCTATCAGAGTATTTTGTCAATTTACACTTGTTACATTCTTTTGGTTTTCCCAATTCATACGTTGCATTATCTAATTCAAACTCATAAATAAACTTTTCTTTACAAAATTCTTTTTCATTTTCAGAAAGCTCCTTGTTTTTTTTGACTAATGAACAAAAATAATCTTTTCTACTTTCTTTATCAGAATTAGCATTAGCATTATTATGCATTTCACTATTAATTTTATATACAAATTTCCTTCTTTCTGATGATAAAAATGATATTAGTTTATAATATGACATTATAAAATATAAAATATAAAATTCAACTTTGGTGCTTTAATGAATGTGGAGATTTTTTGCGGAGAATTGAATAATGGTAACAAACAATTTTTTTCGTACAATGTTTTTTATATTTGATTGCCTTTAAAAATTACATTATTTAAACTTCATCATCACCAATTGATTTATCATGATTCAACAATAAAAAAATTCTTTGAAGATTTAAAATGATAAAAATAGAAAACGAAATTAAAATTTACAAAAATATGTAACCAAAAACCTGTCTTATGTGCTATGTAAAGGTCGTTCCAAGTACCAATATAAACTATATTGCTTCAAACTCAGACATTAAAGACAGCTCAAGCACATTATTAATATTATTGCGTATCACTATTACGTGTAGTTAACTTCAAATATTAATTTAACAAAACTCATATGTATGTAAAGAGAATTTGATTATATGAAATGCAATAATAAAAGGATAGTTTTAATTTGTAAAAAAGAGGCATTTTTTATTTGAAAGAAAATATACAGAAAAAGTAAATATTCTAATCAAGTAAAATTTCTAATTCAAATTATAATTTCCACAATAATTATTCTTCTTGCAATATACATACAATGATATAATTATTATTATTGATACCTGGGACACACATTATCATTATTTCAAGTGTTTTTACTTGTATCAATCTTTACTTATGCCAAGTGTTTTTAATTACATCAAGTGTTTTTACTTACATCAAGAGCTTTTACTTTAGTCAAATTGTCAAAATGACCCTGGTGAGAAACTACCTTTAGTCAATACTTTAGTTATGTCAATTAGTGTTGGTTGCCAAAACTATTTTGAAGAGGCGAAAGTCAAAACTAAAATTAAAAGTTATATGTCAAAACTAAATCAAAAGTCAATAGTCAAAAATCAAAACTAGTTTCGACTTATGACGAAACCTTTTGAGTTGCGAAACTCTCTAATTTTGGAAACCAACACTAACGTCAATGACTAAAGTCAAAAGTTTCGTCATACATCATTAAGAGATGGTGATGATAAAGAAGATGAAGAAAGAAAATTTTGTATAATTTGTATACTAGAAAATAGTTTTTCAAGTCAAAACTTGTTAGAAATATTTATAAATTGAACCTCATATTCCTTTGCTAACAGTCACAAGGTTTGACTGTATCAACATCAACAAGACCAAAATTTCGTATCGATAGTATTACACAGTCTGTACATAAATTTACTGGTGAATATACTTATAATCAAAAAGAATGCGAACCAGTTAAATCAAATCTATTAAAATCACCCGGACCAGAATATTTGTGTGTGCAGAAAGTATAAAGGTTTTTTTGGCAGATAAAGAAAAGAATTTTTTGATATAATTTAAAATTTTTTATTTAGGTATATATTGAAGGATGAAAAGTAATAAATATGGCAAACAATACCTTTGGATTCAACAGATATTGTGAATATTAATATACTTGATGGTTAATTTCATTATTACCATTATTATCATTGTCAGTCACTATTATTATTATTGATGGATATATTGATGTTGATCATCAGAATTCGGTAATTTATGTTTCAGAGTCAACTAACTAATTTTAGTGTATCAAATGAAATTTTATACAAACTTTTTATAATTGCTTCTATCATTTGTAGATAAAAGCAAGGATGAGATTGTAATGGAAGAATTTTCCCCAATTAAATTGTTCATTTTTTTTATCCCTTCTAAATATTTATCATACTCTTGAACATCCAACATCTTTCTACTTACAGTTTGAGGTTGTTTTGCTGTAGGATCTGAAGATTTGGCTTGAGTGATAATAACCCAAGATTTTAGGAAGAATAATACACCCCATTCTGCTCCATCACCATTCCAGTAGTTTGCTCCAAATTCAAAATACCCAATGATGCAAGATCAAGATAAGTTATTTGGGATTTTCCAATGTTAATTACATCAGTGCTTTCTACTGGAATATTAAGAATAGCACATGCCATCATTGGAGTTGCATCTGCTGCAAAATCCTGAAATGGGTATCATGATAAGAGTTCTGATTTAACTTCATGAAATACCTCTACAAAATCTACATAATCTACATAGAAGAGTTGCCTTAATTTTTTCAAAAATTTCTCATAGAAAATTTCAAGAGCTCAAACCTGACCACCAATGTCACTAATGCAATGTGAAAAGGTGTTATTTGATATGTATTTTGCCATAAGTGGTTCAGATTCTGCAATCTTCACACCAATGTCAAACATTTCATCATTGTTAAGAAGACGGAGTGGTAAATGTAAAAAAAGATATGTGGATTCTCTGACAAAAGCTTCAAGAGGTCCTTGTATTGTTCCAGACAAGATAGGCACATAAAATCTTTCCATATTATCACAACTTAATCCACCAACAGCTCTCACAATTGAATGAGCTAAAATCTTCTCAGGACTTTGATCTGCTTGATGCAATGCATTCAATTCATCAATGCCAAGAATCACAATTTTGATGTCAGTGTCAATATCCCTGAAAATTACCTCAAATGCCTGATAAATTGTAAAATTCTCTATATCTGCATATTAACAACATTGATCACAGAATTTGTGAAAATTAGTATCACTTCCATAGATAAAATGTTCATAGAGGATACGTAACCCAACTGATGCTTGACCTCCAATTTTAGTATCTCTAATGTCAACACTACTACCATTACCAAATGTGACATTAATGGCAAACATTTTATTTTCACAAATTGCATTCTTCAGTTCATTATCATCTGAATATTGTTGAACATGATTATGCAGCAATACATGAAGTTCTTGGAGGATCTGGCTTTTACCAATTCCAGGTCCACCAACTAAGGCAGGGATAGGATGAAGCAAACAGTCTCTTATTTTTCTCTTTGCAAACCTTTGGTATATACCATTCCTCCTATTATCAGAACCATTACACAAAGTTTGCATTGTATCTTCTTGACCCTTTAAAGGAAAAATAGAACCAAAGGACTCCACAATAAGGTTTCTGGTCAAAACTATTTCTATTAGTAGCTGAAATTGCTGAAACACTTTGGGCAAAAATTGTTTTTTTATAGACCCAAACTATTTTTTGTTATTGGCCCAATTAGGCGAAATTATTTTAAGTAAGGCTTTGAACAAATCAATGAAATTTGAACCAATTCAAATTGAATCCGAATTGTACTTTGTTTCAATTCAATTCAATTCAATTCGAACAGATTTGAATATATAATTTGATTCAAACAGATTCGAATTTATAATTTGATACAATTCAAACTGATTTGAATATATAATTTGATTTGATTTGATTCAAACTGACTGGTTCGAATTTATAATAATAACTGATTTGAATCCATTATAATTTGATACAATTTGAACTGATTCGAATATATAATTTGATTTGATTTGATTCAAACTGACTGGTTCGAATCTATAATAATAACTGATTTGAATCTATGATTTGAATCAAATACACTATATATAATAAATGAAAAATCTTTATTTTAATAATTTTATTTACAAAAATATTTTTTATTTTATATTTATTTACATAGTATAAATATTGTAAAATTCAAAAAAAAAATTTTTTACCTGGAGCAATAATTGCATCTTGCCTTTCCATCTATGGTTGTAAAATGATTACATACAATTCTTCTTGTTCTTCTTGCTGTGCTTGTTGAAGAAATTGAAGAAGAAGCATCAGTAATATTAATATTATTTTAGATTTAATGAATTGTACAACTGTAAATCGTTAATTTTTTAACTCATTATTAATTATTAAATCCGTTATTATTAAAAATTCGAATAAATATCATATCAAGAAGAATTTTATTATCATTAAACCATTCTTAGACCTCAATCCATTAGTATTCATTAAATTGAGGCACACTAATTGAGATTCACTGTGTAATATAAATTTAAAAAAATTTTAGGAATTGAGTCACGAATTGAATTGAAGCTGTTTTTTTGGAATCGAATTGTCTACAGATCAAATCGAATCACTCTCAAATTCGATTCGATTCAATTTGTTCGGAGATTAGAAGATATCCAAGAAAAGCTACAAAATTTATAAAGTGTCGCAGACTGAAAGTTATTTGATTAACGATCGGCATTTTTTGGGGTAAAAATTTTCCTGGTACATTTTTTAATCAAAATTTTTTTCAAAGAAAATATGGTATACTATAATTTTATTTTATTTATTTGTATATATTTAAAAGAAAGAGAAATTAAATAAGTTTAATTTAACAAGATACGTAGACAAACAAGACTTCGAAGAGAATACTTGTATCGAAAATCTTTGGAAACTAAAGATAAACAAATATTTGAAAGAAAACAAAAAATAAAAGAAGCATTACGAGGTTTTAATATTATTCATTTCATATTCATTGTTTTACAAAAAGTACATTGATTAATTTTTGTTTCTTTGTGGCGGCAATAGAAGGAAGACCTGTACCCACAGAATTACGAGAAGAAGCTATTCAACTTCAAAAAGAATTACATTTTGATGAAGCACAAACTGGTAGTGTGTTTTGTCTATTGATTATATATCATTCATCAAGTTACTTTAGATTTTGACTTTTTTATTTTTTTATAATAATAATTAGAACCAACTACTCATATTGATGATGAATATGCACAGGCAGGAATTTATGATCCTAAAATATTAATAACTACATCACGGGATCCAAGCAGTAGACTTTCACAATTTTCAAAGGTATTTGATTGTGGTTGATCAATAATCATTATATAGAATCATTATTTTTAAAACAAAAAAAATTTTTTTTTTTAGGAAATACGGTTGCTTTTTCCAAATTCTCAACGAATAAATCGTGGTAATTATGTTATTAAAGAGTTAGTAAATGCATGTCGTGCTAATGAAGTCACTGATCTTATATTATTGCATGAAAATCGTGGTGAACCTGGTAATTTTATTTTTTTTTCCTATATTTTTTTTTTTTTACAAATGATTTGTAATAATAATGATAAATGATTTTTCTATGATTATACAGATGGAATAGTTATATGTCATTTTCCATATGGTCCAACTGCATTCTTTTCACTTCATAACGTTGTACTTAGACACGATATGAGTAATGGAAAAACAGTTTCAGAAGCATATCCACATTTAATATTTAATAACTTTAATTCAAATTTGGGTAAACGAGTGATGAACATATTAAAATATTTATTTCCAGTACCAAAGGAAGATAGTAAACGAGTTATGACATTTTCAAATGACACAGATTATATTTCTTTTAGGTATTATTTAGCATTGTTAATTATTTAATTATTTTTTTCCCTTCTGGCAACACTAACTTTCTTTATTACATCTTTATCTAAATGTGTGTATGTATAGACACCATACTTTTGTGAAAATTAATCATAAAGAAGTAGAATTGACAGAAATAGGTCCTGGATTTGAAATGAGACGTATGTGAAACAACAATTATTTTTTATGATATGTAAATTGATTTTTAATAACCTATTAAATTTATATTTTTTAGTTTATGAAATTAAATTGGGAACGGTTGACTCAAAAGATGCAGACACAGAATGGGTTTTGAGACCTTATCAAAGAACAGCAAAAAAACGAGATCATTTATAATGTAAATCTTTGGTCACATAGTATACTGTATATGTTTATTAACATAATCATTTCTATTTAAAAATCATTTCTATTGCATTAATTTTTAACAATCATTATTTTTCATGTCAAATTCTTCGCCTGCAATAAAACATCTAATAATTTTAAGATCATCATCCAAAAATAAAAGATCTGCATCAGAACCGGTATTTAAAGTACCCTTTCTGTTCTGTATGCCCAATAGCTCTGCAGGATGTAATGTAGCAGCTTCAATTGCCTCAATAATAGAACATCCTGTAAATTTTTTAAAGTTTCGAACAGATTCATCTATTGTAATAACTGATCCAGCCAATGTCTTTGTACCAACTATCTCAACCTTTTCATCCTGTTTACGTACATGTATATCTCCTAATTCATAATCACCTGGCGGTAATCCCATTGCAGAAATAGCATCAGTTACTACAATTGCACCTTTTGGATGTGAATCATATGCAATTTTTATGGAGTTTGGATGTACATGTATTCCATCACATATTACACCATAATAAGGTCTTTTAATACATGTAGTACCCAATAGTCCAATTATTCCAGGATCTAAAAAACCATGTTAAAATATTAATTTCCTACGCACATATCACATAAACAATTTTTTTTTTTTTTTTTTTGAACAAAACAAAAAACATACCACGATGATGGAACTAAAAAAAAAAATTGAAAATGAAAATACAAAGTTTAATAAATAAATAGTTAGAACAAATTTATCATTGTATTTTAAATAACTTGCCTGCTGCATAGCATTGAATAAATGTGTAATACATTTTGCCTAATTATAATCAATAATAATCAAATATTAAGTAGAAATTTTTTTTTAAAGAAAATTAAATTAAAATTAATATCATACCCCTTTTTTGATGGCTGACTCAGCTTCAACAACAGTAGCAGCTGAATGGCCTAATACATCAAAAATAAAAATTTTATAAATTGTTCAAGTTTGTTAAAACAACATTATTTATAATCAGAAAATTTTTAAAATCATATTTACCAATGCTAACAGTAATACCAGATTTAACAAGTCTTTCAATATTATCCAATACTCCTTCAACTTCGGGCGCAACAGTTATAAGTTTAATAGAATTTCTAATATTTTCTGATCCATAAGTATTTTCGAGGTCTGAAAAACCATTTGATAAAACTTTAAATTTATATTTTTCATGCACACCACATTTTTCTGGTGTTATAAAAGGCCCTTCAACGTGAGATCCTATTCATAAAAATGTAAAAATAATGATTTTTTTAATGGTTTATATAATAATAACTTGTAGCTAAATATTAAATATCTACCCAAAATCTCTGCTCCATTCTTTAAATTTCCTTTTCGAGGTCCAATCAATGGTAACATCTATTTAATAAATTAAATTTGTAACAACTTCATTATATGATGAATGATTAAATAATTTATAAATTTACATTTTTATAGACATGGTCTTCAGAACTAATGAGTGTTGGAATAAAACTAGTACATCCAGTTCTCAATAAACCTTTTGAAACTTTAGTTAAATCAGCCTTTATCTTCTGTTCATCAAAATCAGCAGATGTTTGTGAAAAATCAACGCCAAATGCACCATTGATTTGTATGTCAATGAATCCTGGGACTACAAATAATCCTTTTGCATCAATCACCAAGTCTGGAGATGATTCTTTGGCGAAAAAATGATTTTGTGGGTCGATTATTAAACCATTTTGAATGAATAAAACATCATTTTCAATGATTTTATGATCATGAATTAATCGTGCGTTAATAATTTTTTTTAAAAAAGATGACGATGTTTGATTATTTAATGTTTTGTCTGGCATGTTTAAAAAGCAGTAATAATATTATTGAATAAAAAATTTATTCAAAGAAAAAAAATCATTTTAAATACCAATGATTAATATATGACGTATTTGTATACGAACAATAAATACACGCGACTTTTTTTGTCAATCGTTTATTATTATCTCATTATGCATGAGTTTCCAAATCGATCGATCAAGATTTTCAAAATTTGGATTAGATCAAAACTGGTATATATATATATACTAGTATCAATTCTACTTGTGATGCTATAATTAGATTACACAATTATTATCTTGGACAAATATTATTACTTGTGGTCAGTGGGGATTACACGATTTTGGCCACATTTGAGAGTCATATTCACCATCTTGGGTCTAGAACATGTGGCCTATTTCGTTTTTTTGGCCACATGTCTGGGTTAATTATAGTCCAGAGTTGCGACTATAAACATCCCCACTACTTATATATTAGTGTAGTCAATTACGCGATTCTGGTCACATTTGAGAGGTCATGTGGCTTGTTTTGTTTTTCTTTGACGCATGTCTGGGTTAATTATAGTCCAGGCACAGAAGTTGTGGACTATAATTAACCCCATTTACTTATATACTAGTGTGGCCAATTTTTAATTTCTGACCATGTTGGGCGGTAAAAATATGTATTTATACCCCATGTTCAGCTTCCAGAATTTCAGACCCTAATGACCATTTTGTTTGGAGGATTTAATTGATATGTGTACATCCAAACAAAATTATACATGTAATTTGATTTATGAAGCAATTCAGGCAACAGCAAACAACCTCAAGATTGTGGTTACTTAAAATGGACGATTCAGATAATGGTCTTTTCTTTGGCATGGCATCCTAAACTTGATCTTGTCGAGTATGAAATTAGTATAACTGAATATGAAGGGAAATCAATAAAATTAATACCATTGTTAAATCAGGCAGTTACTAAATGCCTAATTTTATATCATAATGTTGATTTTCTGCCATACCCACCAAATACTAAATTCTTTAATCTATTTCTAGGATTCAAAACCAAACATCTAAAGATTAATTATGATTTCATAAATCCAATTATCTGGCATACAGAAAATGTCTGGTGAGGACAAAGTACTTTCTGAATTGGTTAGCTTATCTTATTCAATTTCCAGAAAAAAACTGGTACTGTTTTAATATCATGATCTCCTCCTTGTTCTGGAAAAAATATCAGATCTTGGAAAAATATTAGAAAGATTTAATAGATATATTCAAAAGTTAATCACTTTGCCAAAAAATTTCACTGACCCAAGGTCAGTAAAAAGTCACATGACATCATTACGATTATATATGTATATATGTGAAATCGAGCCACCAGGACTAGCTTTATTAATGTGATAAAAAAATAAAAATAAATTTTCAGATATTAATAAAAAATATAAAAAATGGATCAATCTGGACAATGTATGGGACATCCAATACATGAAGGTAATAGTCCCAGATCATAGTAAAAAAGTGCCTAATTATTTTACTTTCATGTGGCCATCTGGTGACAAAGATGGATATATATAGCAGCGTATGAAATACCAAATTTTTGGGAAATCAAAAAATATTCAATTTTTGATATTAAAAACTTCTGAAAAATAATAATATCAATCAACCAAACGTTACAGTCATTAATCGAACAACACCTCAATCAGAATGGAAAATATTTGTTCCTTCAGAAGTTGACCCATCAATTCAAAAATTGTCTGTTCCTGAAGTAAGGTTGAAGCTTCAAGAGAAAAATTTGGATTTCACTGGAAATAAACTATACAGTTATCCCGTTTCAGACAATAATTCTCTGTTGCTAAATAATATGAATTTGAATAACCTCTTGGATGAAAAATTGGAACCTGGATTTTCTCTAAAGAGTATGGGAAGAAAGGTGGTAAGAAGTTTGATTTAAATGCGATTGAACAATTAAAAATCATGTTTTTAGCTGGTAATATAGAAAAAAGGAAAAAATACTCTCTCGAGGATATATGTTAAAAGAACTTCAAAGACTTGTTAAAACTGACGAATTAGAAGCTGAAAATAATCCTTCTCTTCAACATCACAAAAGACAGGCGGTTTAAAATACATCATCTAATTAATAAGTAAAAAAATTTTTGTTATTTTTGAAAACAAGTATGTTTTTAATAACTACTACCGTTACATGGAACATGTAATATGAAAATTCTTAAAAATCTACAGGTGCTAAAGAGTAAACTTTTTTTTTACTTAAGTAAAGACAAAAAAAAAACTGATAATATGTTCTTTGGGATTTGTTTTGTTTGTGGACGTAAAAAAAAATTATGTCATGCTAAAATTCTTCCAGACCGAATTAATGACCAATATCTGATGATATTAATGATCCAACAACAAACCAACTTTCTCAGATAGTTGCTGCCCTCGACCTAAATGATACAATACCTATTCAAGAATATTTGAATAATCCAGAAGAAAAACTGTATTGATGGTTTCGATGAAGATGATAGTGCTGAGCAAGTATTGATAAGTACTAGTGAAGCTTTAAAAGACTTGGAAATTGTCCGCACATTTTTATTACAACAAGAAAATTCTAGCCAACAAATAAAACTGGTTAATTCTCTTGATAGATATATTAGTTTGAAAACAATAAATACAATGAGGCAAACTACAATAGAATCTTATCTTAATCAATAATTATATAAAATTTTTTTTTTAGTGATAATAATGTTATAATTAATTAATAAATTTTTATTTTTACGACTGTATTTTTTTTTAAAAAATTCGTGTAAAAATTTTTTATTCTTTATTGGTGTCATGTGCAACCAATGAAATGCTTTGTTTCTCTAAGTACACGCTATCGCTCATTCCCGAGGGGGGTGCACTTAGAGGGGGTTGACTGTAATGATAAATAATTAATATGTACGCGTTTGTCAATCAAACAACAATTCTTTTTTCTCTTCGAAAAAATGTATAGACAAAGCAAAAGTAAAAATAATACATCTGGAGAGATTGTCAGGTAGTTTTTATTAAAAGAATGATGGTTATTGCCACTTGTCATCACTCTAGTTAATATTGATATAAAAAATAATGATGACTCAAGTTGAATTTTTTGCATGTAAAATCTTACATCCAACCAATTAATTAATTAATAAAAAGAACAGAGTTCTAAAGAATTTCGAATCATATGCAAATTTCTAAAAAAAATTAATTGTGTATATTTTCCCATATGTACTCTAGTATATAGGCTTTTTTTCATAAGTTGAAAATTTTCCGTAAATGAAATCTTTTAAAAGCTAAGACGATTTACGTTATTTTATTTTTGAGTTTACTCGATTCCTCTAAGAGAGAAATTTTCAATTAACTGTTAAGCATTCTAAATGAAATTTCTTTACCTTTACACTTTATTTCTAATAGTCGTTCTTTTATCGACTGCGCAAGCTGTTGCCGTAATTGTTAGTAACGATACAGGTAAATTATTAACTATCGACTGCACTTCAGGAGATGACAATATTGGTTTGAAAATTTTACAGAAATTTACACATGAAGTTTCAATCCTAACATATTTGACACCACCTTTTTCTATTGTGATTGTTCTCAAAGGACTTAATGGTGATATCATTTCATGGAGCGTAACCCAAATTGACAGAAAACTCGTAGCGAATAAAAAATGAAGATATGTAGAATTATTTAAAAAGTTTTAGAAATTATATAGCAGAAAATTTTTATTATCTATTTGTTTTTTAAATAATATCAAATATTATTAATATCATTATTATGTTTACAAGTTTACATGCATGTAAATTATTATTATTATTTTTTGTATCAATAAAACAATGACCATTTTGACTATATTTCACAAGGCCTTTTTTGTATATATTTGAAGGAGTGTTGGGTTAAGTGCTTCACTTCCCATTGAAACATTCCAAAAAAACTTAATCAATAATTTTCTGTAATAGTATACATTATCGCATCAGGAAACTTTTGAGCTTAAGGATCCCACCCAAAGTACATTTTATATCAAAATCTATATAAAATCTTTACCTTTTTAGTAATATCCCCAGCGAAAATTTCAAATCGGTCAGTGATTACATTTTTTCTTGGCAATCTATAATGTAGCTATACATTTAAATGGATGCGTGCTTTAGGTAAAAGTTATCATCAAACATGCAATCCGAAACTGATTTATTATGACAGCGAGTTTCCCGAACTTGAGACAGGGGAGAATGCCAGGCACAAAGCTGAGAAGGCCGAGCTTAAAGCCGGAGTAACAAAATTAGGGCAATGTGTTTGGTTTGTGATTTATTTATAGACTTCTCTTTTTCCTCAGTATTTTTTTTTTTTCTCCTTAGTTTTGATACCCTTGTGGGTGTGGTCCTCATTTCACTATATCAGCAATTAATCAAGAATTGTTAAAATACCAGACAACACTGAATATAGTTATCAAGATAAATCAAGTAGCAAGTAATATATAAGTCTCTCTCTCAGTTATCTAACTAAATTATACTGTTGCTCAGTTATCTTATATGGGGATGATTATAAGCCATTATACTTATTTATTAATATAATTACAATAATATGTTTTAATTTATTATTTCACTAATCAATCATTCACCTCCTTCTTTAACTATTAATACATCTTCTTTCTCCAATCCATCACCTTCTTTCATTAAACTTCCTTCCTTTTTCATCAAGCCTTCTTCCTCTTTCACCAAACCTTTTCCAAATAATCTTTGAAAAGGTTTAAAATTTCCTTCATCTGTCCATTGTTTAGAGTTATGGTCATCAAATATAGCAAAAGAAATATGTTTATAAGTTTGTGGTAAATTTTCACCATTACCGAAATACTCATTCGTGATAACTTCATGAAATAATTTTGCGATGGTTGATGGAGGATTGCTGAATGCTCCACAACCAAATGCACTCAAAACAATTGAATCATGATCTAAAAAAATTTAAAAAATTTAAAAAAAGTAATTCTATTAAAATCAGAAATCTTTTTTTACTTACTATTATCCAATCCAATATTTAAAATTGTTCTGATTTTTTGTTTGGTTATTGATTTATCCATATCTTTTAAAGTAGGTTTTCCGTAATTATCAGGATCTTCTACAAGATCTGGTCGACATAATGCTGCAACCGTCTAGTGAATTAACAATAATTGAATTGAGATAACTTGATTTAAATCGATTAAAAAAATTAATATTTGCTCACAACAAAAGACATTGTTTCTGGAATTTCTAATAATTGATATCCTTCTTGTTCATTAGCTTTGATTACAGTTGCATTTGGACAATAAATACCACCGAATATTGGAATTGGATACCAATCATCTCTTCTTGGTTCAAGATATTGAAATAAATTAGTACGACGAAATAAATTTTCTTCCTGAGCTCTTGCACCATATTTATAACCTAATAGTAATAATGCTGTTGTTTTGAATACTTGCAACAAAATAATTTATTTTTTTGGATTTAAAAGATATTTTCTTTACCTCCACCAGGATGATCAGCATTGGCCATATTTAGCACTAATGGATTGTATCCTTTTTGTTTTAAATCTAATGCATGACTTAAACAATCGCCATTATAAATTTCAACATTAGGAATTTCTTGTTTTTCCTTAGTAATTTTACGTACTATTTTAGAACCATCATTATAAATATTTGCTTTAGATATTTCTTGTTTAATGTTTTCTAAGTTCAATTCAACTATTTTTTTATCATCAGTTGTCGAAAGCAGTATTTCATATTTGAAAAACTTATCAAATATATCTATTGTATTTTTTTGAACATTTAATCTCATATTCGCAAATTTTCTTTTATTTTTTAATTTTAACACCACTTGTACTTTCCGTCCAAAACAAAAATTGAATTTCATGTTTCACAGTATTTCAGGGGTCCGGGATTGGATTATTATATATACATGAGGTGTAATTGTTTTGCCAAAAACGTAATATTTACGTAATACGTAATTACGAAATTAATTACGAATTAATTACGACGAAACTAATTATGGGTGATGTAAAATCCATAAATTTTAATTAACATATTATACAACGGATAGTAGTTATTTTGCCAAAAACATAATATGTGTAAAATCTCGAAAGATAACGTCCCCGACATGGTGTTAGTCGCGGGTCATTGCAGATCAAGTGTCATTCAATATAAACGTTACACGAATAAAATTATTATCGTCCACTTCAAAAAAAAAATCTCCGATTTTCATATAGCAAGCGATTTTCAACCACAATAAAATTTTTAGAGCCAGATTGGGACTTTTTAACAATAGTTAAAAGAAAAGGCTAGCTAAAATATTGGTTATTCTACGCCAGGTCGGAAGTGTTTCTTTTCTTCACAATTATTTTAAGATTATCGCTCAACTAGTATGCAGACTAAAGCAAATTCAGCAGCAACAGTTGTGCCAAATTGTTCCCTACAAAGTCGCTTATAACCACTTGGAAGGTTGTGTTAGAAAATTTTTGCTTTTAATTGTAAGGGACTGATTTATAGTTATTTATAAGGTTATTAATTTATTTAGAATTTTAAAATTACATGTCAAAATTTCAAAATAATAATAATAATAGTAGTAGTAGTTAATTTATTGTTTGATAATTATGAATACAAAGAATCAGAGAAATAATAATTAACAATAAAAAAATTTATTTATTAATGATAGACCTTTGGCACTGTACATCAAGCAAGGTTTGAATATTCGGAACAAAGCTCTAAAGGGTTGTGTGGTAATGATGGTGGTGGTGGTGGTGGGAATTTCAAAGAAAAATGATGTCATTTGAATACAAACCATCTTTTGCACACTTGATTCATGATTTCAATACAATTTCTAAATGTTTGGCATGTCACAGTTTTCCAAAAGCATCATCATCAGGACTCTGTTGTGCATGTAATTTTTATCTAAAACATAATATATATAATAGATTTTCTGATAAGTCTTTCCAATTACCAGATCAATCCTCTTTTGATTCATCATCATCTCATACTCCTCCTTCACCAACAAGTTTGATTATGTCACTGATCACTGAATTTTTTAGGTATGCAGCATATAGAGAATATCAAAGAGAAAGCATATTTTCTTTTGTACAAGGTAAGGACACAATGATTTTGTTACCAGCAGGTGAAGGAAAAACTCTATGCTACTCTGCCTCTGCTTTATTATGTGAAGGCCTTACAGTAGTTTTCAGTCCTTTGAAAGTGCTCATAGATGATCAAGTGGTATGGTAATTTTAATTGAATATTTATTAAATCTGTTCTAGAAAAAATTACTAATGTAATTCTTTTAGATTGAAGTCACTACTAAAATGGGTATCCCTTGTGCTGGTCTTTATACTTCAAATGGACAATCAGCATCTTATCAAAAAAAAGTATTTGAAGAACTATCATCTGGTTTTACCAAAATTCTTTTTATAACTCCTGAAAAGTTTGACAAAAATATTGGATTTCAGAAAATGCTGCATAGGATCTATGAAAAATTTGGTTTATGTTTTGTAATTGATGAAGCTCATTGTATTAAAGAATATATAGACATTTTAAGTTTGTTTCTATATTTTAAGTTGTATTTTAATTTTTTTAAAATAATAAATTGTTTTGATTTTACAGACCATTATGGAGTAATTTGGGAAAGTTGAGAAATATGTTTCAAGAAACACCCATAATGATGCTACTTGCTTCAAAGAAGATGCAAATATAATTATTAACTCCCTTAATATAAAACCAGAAAATCTTAATATTATAAGAAGCTCTTCTTTTTCATGTCCAGAAATTAAAATAGAAGTCTGTTCAAAAGGAGCCAAGGAAAAGATTATTGGTGATATAGTTAAACTAATTAGTGAAAACCAAGAAGGGAAAATTATAATATATTGTGCAACTGTTAAAAATCATGAAGAGATGTTAGAACAATTGAATAGTAGAATTGACACTAAATATAATATTGATACTTATCATGGAATTAGATGGTTTGCAAAAATGTCAAACAATTCAAAAGTGGAAAAATGGCCAAATCCAACTTATAATTGCAACAAATGCTTTTGGAATGGGAATAAATGCACCTGACATTCGACTTGTAATTCATAACACCTTTCCTCTGAGCATGGATAATTAAAAATCATCTGGAAACATATATGAATAAAATAATTAATATTTATCAATAATTATTTTTCAAATAGGAAACTTGATACAAGAAATTGGTCATGCAGGAAGAGATAAAATCTAATCAAAAAGTGTTTTGTTTTTCTCAAGAAATGACATACAATTCATATACTCTATTGTTACTGGGGGAAAAGAAAGGTGATATTTATTCTCAATTTTTATATAAAAAACATATATAATTAATTAAACCAATCTTATATATTTTTGTAGTTCTATTGAAAATCAACAAAATATGGAGGAGGTCAATGATTTCTGTCCTAATTTTGATGAATCCAGAGAAGCAGATCATATTAACTACTTGCTAAATAAGCAAAAAGAAATATTTAAAATGGTCTATTATTGTGAAGAGCATTATACCTGTCACTAAATGATGTTATCTAGTTATTAATCATGGCCAAATGACCAACCACTTCCTCAATGTAAAATATGTGACAACTGCATCAGGCATACTAAGGAAAAACCTATTTTATATGATATTAGCATTGATGTAGTGAGGATGATAAAGGTTGTAGATGTAGTAATTAATCATCTGAAGAGAAAAGAAAAGGAGGCTACAAGAGATGATATCATAAATGTATTCTGTCAAGCAAAAAACAAAATGTAAATGAAAAAGGCTTTTCAGAATTGTATATATATAAATTAATGTATAATGGGGTCATAAAATGACAACAGGATGTTCTTCATCTACTTGACAGGCTCATTATTGATGGTCTTGTTTTAAGTGACATTGTTTTATATAAATCCCTAATCTTTCTGACTTCCATTGTAATATAGTAATAATTGGTTTAAAAGAAGGTGCAATATCAGAAGCAACATTTAAAAAATGGGAAATTTTTTTTAAAAAATAAATATATAGGATTATTTATATTAGCAGTGAGCCAATGAAATTTAATTATTAATTTTTAATTTTAGTGATCAACAACAAAAAATTATCCACCGCATCATAGTAAAATTCGTGTTACATACACTCTACCCTTAAATAATAATAAAAATGTTGTGAGATAGTAAATGGGTGCCTTCAAAAATTATTATATTGAGATTGAGATTGAATATTTGATTGGATTGAGATTGGATTGAAATTGAA